CGTCACTGCCTTGGCTCCCTTCTCTCTTGAGCATCTGAACGGCGCCGACATACTTCTTCAGCTGGACCTTCAGGACTTCGTTCTCCCTGAACAAACACAGGAAAGACTCAGAACTCTGTAAACGAAATGCAACGTTTAAAATCATCTTCCCCCAAACAGACCGAATTCGATTTCCAGTTGAGACAAGGCAGTTTCTTTTTACTGTTTCTGAAGGACAGTTTTGTTTGGAGACTTCATATTTCATTTTATTTATTCTTTTAGATTTAAAATGTCTTCCAGCTCCAGTGTGAAACGTTCATTAGAACAAGTTTGATCTTCGAGAATCAAACTTGTTCTAATCCTTGTACATGTAATTATTATTTCATTTCTGTGATATTACTTGAAAATAGTCTCAAAATATTATTGTTTATTGCAATAACTTCTGCGGCGATTTACCGTCCAGCTGACTTTGTAATGGTGAAAGTAAAGAGATGAATGTGTTTCATTCCTCAGGTTCTGCTTGATGAATGTTTAAGTTTTTTACTTTCTCTGTTGAATATTTAGTGAATAACTCACAGGTGGAAAAGCGTCTTTGTGTGCTGAGAATAAATAAAGTACTGAAAGTTGTTCAGTTTTATGTTTTCCGAGCAGCAGATGAGCTGCAGCCCAGAAATCAGCCCGATTATCTGAGGTGAAATGTAAATGTGGGGCAGGACCCGGAGTCGGCGCTCGCCTCGTAGCGCCATCGAATCAATCACAGCGGCGTAGCGGCTTTGTGGCGCCGCGGTTAAATTTAACCGCCTGTCTGGCTCCGCCCCCGGCACGGCGTGGCCGGACTCGGCTGCCCCGCTTATCAAACTCTTTTCAACAGCAACAAAAGGAGAAGCTGGCAGGAAGCCGCCGAGTCCAGCATGACGAGCTCTCAGAGAAACATTATCAGAGCGGCGGCGGCTCAGGCACTTCCCGGGCCTGAGACCATTATTTTACTGACACCAACACACACACACACACACACACACACACACACACACACACACACACACACACACACACACACACACACACACACACACACACACACACACACACACACACACTCTCGGTGACCCGGTCCAGTGTTCAGGTTATTTTAGCTGCTGGACCTTTAAAACTCAACCATCCTTCATTAAAGTGACAGCGACATGTTTTGCAGTGACTGTTACCTTCAGCTGCTATAAAAATGCTTTATGTCAGAAATGACTCAAAATGTCAGGAAATAGTTTAGCTGGATAATAAAATCAAAAGGAAAATAGTTTTGTCTGGTTTTTCCAGTAATAATGCAGTAAACCACTGAATTTCACAGCTTTGGTCCCAGTATGCCTGAACTATTCACATTATCTACCATAATGGAGCCCTGGTAGTTTTATAGGTGTATAATGCAAATGAAGATTTTTTTTCTAGAAAATTGGGAGAATAATCTCTTAATGTGAGATATAGCATTTGAAAGCGCTATATAATTAAATGTCTAAGGAAACATGACCTCTAAGGGACTAGTCAAAGGTTTTCATTTGAATAATGATGTAATATCATCTTATCGGTTAATATGGATGGGATGAGTCTTCTTAAAGGGGCAGTATCACGTTTTCCAGGCACATAATTATATTTTATAACATCAGAACTATGTTACCTTCATTTGTTCTAAAATGTTAAACACATCAAATACGACTTTAAAAAAAATTAAGAGTTATTGATTTAATGTCTAGAAATTGCGCCTCTGTCTCTTTAAGACTCCTGCTCTTCCTGAAGCTCCGCCCCCAGGAAGTTGTCCCAACATGGCTCCTCTATTAACCCTTTAATGTTTTTACCAGTGTTGCTCTGAGCAGCAGCTCCTACAATGAGCTCAGCAGCTGGTTGTTAATTGCTGCTGGCTAGTCTGGAGGAGCTGAAAAGAGGAGCAGCTAAGCCTGGAAGGCGGGGCTAGGTCCACCCAGGCGTTTAACAGCTGAATGGTTGCCATGGTGAATCATATGCAACTTTAAAGAAGTAAGAAGTAGATGGGTACTGCCCTTCCCCCACTAGTTGCTGCACAATAGCTGAAAGATCACAAGAGTAAAAATTAATACATCAGCTGTCTGGGAATAATTATGGCTGCAAGAAACGTTGGTATTTATGGAAGTATTCCTTTAAATAAGAAACTGTTTTGTGCGACTTTTATAAGGAACGTTTGCAACGTCATGATTGGATGAAATCCTCCTGTGGCTTGAATAAATGAGCATCAGAGGTTCGGTTCGAGCTGCTGCATCGTCTCTGGTGTGATGGAAAGCTGGGCTCCAGAGGGAGGAGGAACACATGCTGCTAGTGGAGCGTTACTTTAACCAGGAACTCCTCCGTTTGTTCAGCAAGGCATCGTTTATTCAGAATGAAACGCTTCTCTGAACCAAACAATCCAGGACGTACTGTTGCTCTCTCAGGTTACGATGTGGCGAATTAATACATTTTACTGAATTATTGATGGCTTTGATACAACCAAGAGGCTTTCAGCTGATGTAAAGGGCCGGGCTTCTCCATTATTCAGCGCAGAAACAGCCGCAGCCGGGACGAACAAGCCAAATGTTTTCACCTCGTTAGGTTTGCCGTGTCAAACTCAGCCACGTTCGCCGCTGAATATCAATCGCAACCCGGGAATTATCGGGCGATTCTGGATTTGGTTTGATCTGAGGTGAAAACAGCTGATATGGACAACAAGGTAGAAGTTTTATTTACATCCCAACATAAAAATCTAACTCCACAGAAACATCGGAGGAGGTTCTCCCAGACAGCTGCTCTGCAAAAACACAAAATCTCACCAAGTGTTTTGGTCTAGATTTTAGTGCAAATATCTCTGTTCACTTGGAATAAGACAAAACTAACTTATCAGTAAGGACCTTGTTTTAAGTCAATAATTCCTTAATATGGATTGAAAAATTCTAGTTGTGAAAATCTGCCAGAGTGGTACACAACGCTGATCTCCAGCGTCAACCCGCCGGCCGCTCCCGGCGTCAACCCGCCGGCCGCTCCCCACTTCAACCCGCCGGCCGCTCCCGGCGTCAACCCGCCGGCCGCTCCCCGCTTCAACCCGCCGGCCGCTCCGGCGTCAACCCGCCGGCCGCTCCCCACTTCAACCCGCCGGCCGCTCCCGGCGTCAACCCGCCGGCCGCTCCCCGCTTCAACCCGCCGGCCGCTCCCGGCGTCAACCCGCCGGCCGCTCCCGGCCTCAACCCGCCGGCCGCTCCCGGCCTCAACCCGCCGGCCGCTCCCCGCTTCAACCCGCCGGCCGCTCCCGGCGTCAACCCGCCGGCCGCTCCCACTTCAACCCGCCGGCCGCTCCCGGCGTCAACCGCCGGCCGCTCCCCACTTCAACCCGCCGGCCGCTCCCGGCGTCAACCCGCCGGCCGCTCCCCGCTTCAACCCGCCGGCCGCTCCCGGCCTCAACCCGCCAGCCGCTCCCGGCGTCAACCAGGAGAAACAGAAATACAGAAACTGCAGAGCAGGAAGCGGCGTGTGTGTTCAACAGACAAATGTTTGGTCTGAAAGCTCGGGGTGTAAAGGTTAGGAAAAGGTTTGAAGGAGGGAAATATTACAGAGAACAAGGGCTCAGGAGGAAGGCTGTAGCTTGCGTAGCTGCAGTAATTACTGCGTTTGTCTTTATTCCCTGCGTCTCTGCAGGATTCCCTGCACTCACAAGTTGTCTTCATTTGCAATAAACCGGCTGAACCGCCGTTGTTCAGGTGAGCAGCCTGTAGAGGCAGAAATGACGCTCCAGAGGCCAATTTACAGCCAAACGGCCCAGAAAAACTCAAATAAATAAATATTTAAACACTATTTGAGTTTATTGGGTGCAGCTCTGAATGTTTAACAGACCAGAAGAAACGAGTTTGTTCAGGTTCTGCTGTCCCTGAAACACGGGATGTTGGGTAATTATCATAACGTTTAGCATTTATAAACTTTTCTCGGAAGTTTTCCTAGAAGAGTTTAGGTTTTTTGTTGTTATGATAAGTTTCAGTCATTAATGGTGAATAAAAAACCTGAATGTTTATCATTAAATGTGTTGTTTTTGTAATTTTTCCCAGTTTGTACCACAGGATTAAATAAATTCGAAAATTTGGGCAGCTAAGCTAATATTGGTCATTTAAATTACAGAATTTTATGCACAAACTGATTTTAAATACAAACTGATGTAACTCATAGAATAGTTTTAAATAAATGGTCTGTTTGTTTACACTTTTTCTGTCATAATTCAATCAGATTATCTACATTGTTTTGATAGAAAAAATGGTTTTGGAATGATAAATTGTTTCTGACCCTAAAATGGGTCAAAGGTCAGATATCCACCATGGGGGAATAAAATGGAGCTGGTTGAGGAAAATAAATACATCAGTATTCAGCTGAACAACTGGAGAAACAAAATTAATAAACCTGCCCAAGCCCTAATAATAATAATAATAATAATTCAAGGTTACTGAGATTTTATGCTCATAATGATTTGTTTTCTTTCTCTAGATATGATTCTGTTGTGAAATTTTGTAAATTATAGAAACAATATGAACTGATGCTGATAAACCACATTATGGTTTCCAATAATAACTGGCCTTTAATAGTAAATTAAATTTCCCAAAACAATCGCTGGCGGCTCCAATAATCCAGACAGTAAACGTTGCAGTCAGTGAGATGACGGAGTGAAAAACGGTTTATTCTCAGATGCTTTAATCATCAAACATTCCTACAGAACCACCAGAACTGCAGCAGCTGCTGCATCGGGTCTGAACACTATTCTGACCCGGTCAGAACCGCAGCTTTAGTTGCAGGTACAGAGCAACGGTTGACTCAAACACAACGATGAGACTCTGCAGCTCAATCCCATCTAAATCTGCAGATCAACCTCCTGCAAACTGCTAATACTGTAACAAACATCAATAACTGGATATTCTGGTTCTAATTTGAGTTGAACCGCTTCATTTTACTTTCAAACTGTATTTTTAGCTCCAAATGAGATGGAAATCTAAATCCAGAGGGGATTATTGTTCTTGGTTGAGCAGATTGTCATCACAAGCAGCAGCAACAGTGATGTAACCAAATGAAATAATATATA